CCCCCCCCCCCCCCGCCCCGCAACGAACTTCCCTCCCGGCTCTCCTGCGGGATAATAGGATCGCGGCTTCTTTGGCTGGCACATACCTATGTTTACTAAATAAATAAAGCGGGATTGCTCCCGCTGTTAGCCCGAATAATTGTTCGCTGTTTAAGTGTTTAATTAAGTCAACCGTTTTATGGTGACGCCGCGGCCTGTCCGGATTACCCTTTCGCCACGCACCTCGCCGGTCCTTGTGACGTCACGCGGAAGTTTAATCATGCCTCTACGTTCTTGTCGGTGACGGCGACGCTCGCCTTCCGGCGCTCTTCGCACGTTCGGATTTGGAGTAGAGTCCCTTTATACTGAGAGTCAAGACAATGTGAATCCATTTCTGATTGGTTCCCGTATTTTAGGCCTTCACAGTGTCATAAACGGGAATAAAGATTACATTTTCGCCGATTGCAAAGATTATAATCTGGAATGGACCAGGGAATTATGGGTTCGGTAAGGAACAAACGGAATGAGAGAAGGAACGGAGAAAGGAATTGGAGAATGGGCCGACCAAAGATTACGAAAAACGTTCGATTTCTGTAATCTTTATTCCCGTTTGTGACTCCATGAGGGGGTGTTGTCTTGACTCTCAATATAAAGGGACTCTAATTTGGAGAACCTCCACAATTGCCGTGCTAAGGAAAAACGCCGTATGAGCCTTCAGGCGTTGCCAAATGTCCTCCGACAAATCGCCTATTCTCAGGATTTGTGAATATTTTTCGTCCGATTTCTCAGATAATTTTGTGTGCAATTTGATCTCAAATGTCTGAAAATTTCAAGGAAACATATTCACAACTTTCCTAAAAATAAACACTTCATCGGAGGAAATTTGGCAACTCTCAAATGTTCATACAACGTTCTTCCTTAGCACAGCAGAGCACGGACACCTACTGCGGGATCTATTTTGGATTGGCTGGCCCGTTTGAGACTGCGCATGAGGCTATTGAAGGTCTGAAAATGACGGCCCTCATGAGCAGAAGTAGGATAAGGGACAACAAATTTCACGTGTGACTCCTCACTTGTAGCACTTAGAGATGTATAATTATGAATGTAGGGAGGTGAAGCTAATATCGGCTCAGAATAATTAGGGTTTTTTTTAAAAGGAGCCTTTCTGCGTAGCGGGAAAATTTAGATTCAATGGCGTGTATAGACAGACCGGGTTCAGAGTAATTTTGTACAAGAAGCCCTGCATAATGGAATATTAAAATTGAAATAGCCTGATGATCGCATGAAATCCACTTTAAGCACATCAAACATGTCTAAAACCTAGACATTAGATCACAATTTCATTTGGATGGTCCTCACGGCTCTTTTATTACATGACAAAAAAATTACACGGAAAAAACGAGCTTAGGGTTGGGACCTACATGTTAGTGCTGGGCACTAACGAGGGTTAGATCAAATGGAGCCAGCAAGTCAGAGGAGTGCTGGGCACTAAACAGCTCGAGGCTGGGTCACTAAGGAAGAAGTAGTGTCAAGCCCTAAAGTGACTTCGGAGCGAGCGTAAAATATGAAACGCCTCCGCCTGGGATCGAACTCGAGTTGCGCCGGTGGAAGACCAGCGCGTTACCACCAGGCTACGGTGGCTCCGACGTCTTATGGGTGAATTTACACCTGTTCAGCGCAACTACGTCTCGCGGCATCTGATTAGCACTACTCATGTTCAGTGTCCAACTGAACTGCCTTCCGGTGTTGAGCTGTACAGCGCTTAGACGCCAGCCCTCAACTACTCCCCACTAAACGGCCAGTAGTGCTCAACACTAGTCTTGTTTTTTCCGTGTACATTCATGTAACTATGGATTTAGAGATTTGTCGTTTGGAAAGACCTTCATATTTTTTGTTGATTCACAGCGGATTTGATCATAGAATCACAACTACTCCAGCTCATGGACAAATTTAAAGTACACGGAAAAAACGAGCTTAGGGTTGGGACCTACATGTTAGTGCTGGGCACTAACGAGGGTTAGGTCAAATGGAGCCAGCAAGTCAGAGGAGTGCTGGGCACTAAACAGCTCGAGGCTGGGTCACTAAGGAAGAAGTAGTGTCAAGCCCTAAAAGGACTTTGGAGCGAGCGTAAAATATGAAACGTCTCCGCCGGGGATCGAACTCGGGTTGCGCCGGTGGAAGACCAGCGCGTTACCACCAGGCTATCGTGACTCCGACGTTTCATGTGTGAATTTACACCTGTTAAGCGCAACTACGTCTCGCGGCATCTGATTAGCACTACTCATGTTCAGTGCCCACTTGTACTGCCTTCCGGTGTTGAGCTGTACAGCGCTTAGACGCCAGCCCTCAACTACTCCCCACTAAACGACTAGTAGTGCTCAACACTAGTCTTGTTTTTTCCGTGTAGGCGAAACATGTTGCGAGTAAAAAGGTCAGGGTGAATTATACCATGGGTAATGAGTCTGTAGGCGAGTAGCACCGAAATTTACAACCTATACTTCGACGGTCTCGCATGACCTTTTAAAGAAAGACAGCTAAAGGTTGAGTTTGCCCGGCGAACAAAATGAATACTGCAATGTAAATAAATCATGCGATCCAAGAAGGGGCTATAAAGTTGTATTACAATCCGGAAATTCTGACTCCTGAATATGGAGACTTCATAGACAACATGTTTTACTAATTTTTGTAATCGCAAACTTCGATCTTCATGCATCGACATGTTTGGGCGTTTTGTGCGTTGCAAACTATTCGTAAAGCACATCTTCACATGCTGTTGTATCGCGGGTTCGAGTTTAACACCCTGCGAACTGAATGTTTTATGTTTCTTGTGGATGGGCACAACTGCCAGGAGCTAGGAAATAACTGGACTGCATTAAAGCCACATCAGCTATTGCCAAATTTAATGGGGCCATTTCATTTAATATTTTACATGAAAACGGTTCTACGGATGTTTACAGGGCCGGATTAAGGGGGTGGCCCCATGGGCCACGGCCCATGGCGGCAAATCTATTTGGGGCGGCAAATTTTGCAGCTTTTTTTAAATGTAGGTATAAAAAAAAATCGGATTTAGAAAAGAAAAATTACAAACGAGAAAAGGCGACCAAATCTCTCATTTTCTGAGAGTATAGTAATTTATAATTTTGTCATCTTTCAGTGATACAAGAGACAGCAACTTTAGTTAATCGAGTTAAGAGAGAAACCAAACATGCAATTTGGCCTGGATCGCCGCAACTTTGAGAGCGCTGATGACGAGGACTTGAGATGAAAAGGAGAAGCCCTCGATGCGGCGATCGGCATGTAATACATATCGCCTACAAGACTGCACGAATACTTCACGCATTGCATCAAACACAGTGCGGTCGGTGCGGAGGCGGACAGCGTGAAACGGATAGCGCCTACAAGAATGCATGAATACTTCATGCATTGCGCCAAACACAGTGCGGTCGGTGCGGCGCGGCGGCGGAAGTTAAAATCATTAAACCAATTTTTTGTGTTTGTTCTTTCATAATTTTTTCGTTCATTTCTTATGGATGGAAGGCCTCGTCCATACAGAGATAGGTTTACGAAACTTAACTGTCGCGCAAAGTTCTTTTCGAGCTTTTGCTAGTAGTGTTGACAGGGCTTTCCCAAAAAATGTGTTCAACAGGAGTAAACGCGGCTTATGCACCCCTCCCCCGCTGGCACGTTCATTTGATAGTTTTTTATTGATGTTTTAAAGCGAATGAGGAGGGGGCGGCAAAATACAGGCGGCCCATGGCGGCAAGTAGATAAATCCGGCCCTGGATGCTTATGTAAATTTCACCAAAGTTTCTGCATCGTAGTAAATTCCTTAAAATTTTCAAAGGAATCAGCACAAACGTTCTATTAAAAAAAACAAATTGCCCACTTAAATTTGGCAATAGCTGATGTGACTTGGTTCTTTTCTACCGAACGCGACCCATCTAATACCGGTATAGACTGACGTTAATGTGAAGAAAAAAGGAGAAGCTCTTGATAAGCAAAAGGAACAGAAGTATTAATCAGACTCCTGCGAGAGGTTAGACCGCAACCCGCAACACGAATAATCTGGATGCTTGTTTCAGAGCGTAATCACCTACCGAGGAGTGAGAGTAGTGCACTCTAATTACAGTAGACACCGGGGGCGGGGCCATTGCCGGACAGCCAACCGCACCTCGTAAACCATCCTCCCATTGTTCACGCCAGATTAAATTAATTAATTTTTCCTTTTTTACCGTTCTCTCCGTTTCCTCGCCAATTAATCATTCATTCATTCTCTCGCCTCCCCGAGGACTTAGCAAAAAACTTCGAATTTGAATCGAGCGATTTCGCGGAACAGCCACGATTCTCGCAAGTTGGTGACATTGTTTTCCCTCCATTCAATTCAAGTATAAAATATCGGTTTTTAGAAACGAGATGTCGATTATTTTACACAAAAAACAACTTAATCGGCCCGAAACGATAATACAGAAACAACTTAAAATGGGACTGAGGCTGCAAAAAGTAAAATAAAGAAATGAAATAAAAAAAAATTGGGCCGTTTCGCGGTGATTACGCTCGCATTTTCAACCGTTGAATTTTCGAAAATTTCCTTCGATAAAATGTTTATTTTTCAGGGAAGTTATGAATATTTTTCCTTTATATTTTCAGAATCTTTAGGTAAAATTAAGAACTGAATTATTTGAAAAATTGGGAGGAAAATATTCATATTACCAGGAAATTCGCGTTTTATTAAAGAAAATTTTGCAACACCTGAAGGCTCATGCGGCGTTTTCCCCTTAGCACGGCAGTTTTCGACTCAGGTTGTTAACATTGTTCACTAAGAATGTCACACTAGTGGTGGAGGCTGAAAATTTAGACTTACCTGAGAGTCTTTGAGGCCGAGTTTTTCGGCCAACTTTTTCCGATCGGGTTTGGATATGTACTTCTGGATCTGGAACCTCTTTTCCAGGCCTTTCCTTTGAAGATCGGAAAAAACGGCCCTGCGCATCATTTGCCTCCTGGGCTTTCCTCTGCTATGCTGCGCCCACGGAAAGGTCCCGGGCAAGGGAAACACTGTCCCAACGCCGGGGTTTGATCCCACTGAAAAAGTTCAAAAGATTTCACCATTTCATTGAAAAAGAAATGTTTAGTAAAATTAAATCAGCACGTGCGATAACCGCGAATGTCCATTTATCCTGTCTTAAGTTTTTTTGGGTTCATAATACTTTTCGGAGTTGATTGCAACCACGAAAGTGGCATTAAAACTCGTCTTCGGGTTTCTTTAATCCTAAAACGAGTTCTCCCATCATTTTTAAGGTTTTATCAACTTTTTAAACGTATTATGAACTCAAAAAAAACTGAAGATTGGAAAAATGGACATTAGCGGTTTTCGCACGTCCCTATTAAATTATTTTAATTACTGGATAACTTTAGAAGTGCGTCAGTAATTGTTGATTCGGTGCTTTCGACATTAGGAACTCTGAATTCAATTCATAGATGAAATAGAAAGGGCAAACTTGATACGAAAAATTTGAAGATTCTCAATTCGCCTTCAATTTTTGAAGTAGGCCAGAGAACATCCTTCATGCGGCTGTAGTTATCTATTCTAGGATTTCGGTCCTCCGGTATCTTTCAGCATAGTTTCGCGATACATTACGTTCGACTTAAACCTGAAAATTTTTATGCTACCTCTGTTTTTCTATTCAATGATGATAATCGTAGCGATTTTTTTGCGATAAGCGGACACGAAATCGCAAAATTTCTGTTCCAAAGTGTTATGTGGAGCATTATGTATGTCCTTTACTTTACACTGTTTTATGAGAAGGTGTCAGGTATGTTCCAAGAGCAAAGAAAAACACTTTGGGTGCATTCGAAATTTGCCAAATTATTTCTGATAAAATATTTATTCATTAGAATATTTTTTTAAAATTTTACTTGATATGAGATCAAAATGCAAAGAAAATTTTTCAAAAATTCTAAACGAAATTAATCACGAGTTTTACATAAAAACCAATTTTCTTTCATCGAATAAAATTCAGAGAAGTCTTATAGGGATCATACGCCATTTTTCCCATCGTGGCAGAGAAGTTCATTTTCATTATATCAGCGAATGACTGTACTTCCAAAGCTTGCATTTATGATTAAACATTTTCAGCTATTTATCTCTAATTTGAATCCAAAATAAATAATCGATTCAAAATGAGGCGATCTACCTCGATAGAAATCAATTACTTTATTTCGTGCTTGCGGGTGAACACGGCGAATCCAGTGTTGCCAATTTACGAAAATCGTAAGAACATGAAGGGAAAAGAAAAGACTAACTCGAGTGCGGGAGATGCTAATAACGGCGACCAATCCATTTTCATGCGTTAAAAACATGTTCCAAGGGCACAATAATAATTTTCTCCCTTTGGCGGCGCAATGGATTTTTATTGCCGCAATCAGATCAGGGGCAGAAAGAGCGTGACGTATGAAGATACGCGGCTGTCGCGTCGCTCACGAGTGAAAAAAGAACGGTTTTTTGGCACATTTCAAATTGAAGCTTCTGGATTGAACAGTGGTTCCGCTGTAAATTGACCCTGGAATAAATTTCTCGGAATTTGGGAGCACTGTACTCCGCTCATTTACGTTTTTTCTTTTTTTTTTTTTTTTTTTTTTTTTTTTTTTTTTTTTTTTAAATTCAAATTATTTTATTGTTTATATATAAGTAGGAACAAAGTAGGACAGTACTTTGCCCGAAGGCCTGTTGTTATACTAAGATTATACGAAAGAGCCTATTTACAGTTTTTTAGCAACCCCTTCAGTTCCCACCATTCAAGTATAATGTGAAACAATCGATATTTATCCAGGCAGAATCGATTATTCTTAATATATTTAAATGGAGGTATAAGAATCTCGCCAACTTGCGAGGATCGCAATTGGAATTTTGCACACGCCGACTTATTTTTCTGTGAAGCACGGCGGAAACAAGTCGGATTCGTCAATGTGAAGAAAACTTCGTCTAGGCCCTACGTACTCATTTTCATTAGATGTAAACCTAAATATATAAAAATGAACCTTTCGCAGTACGATATTTTAGTATGATAAATAGGAAAGTTACAGGTATTAATTTACAAGATTACAGAACAAAATTATCTGGAAAATCGGCGGAAAAATATTTACAAATTTTCCCAATAATTCGTGATATACCGAAGGAAATTTAGCAAGGTTCATACGGCTTTCTTCCTTAGCACGGCAGTACAGAGCAACGAATTTCATTTTTGCCGTGTTTTACTTATGCCGAGATTTTTCCACAGGATTTCCGTCATGGCTTCACTTCTAACCTCCTGTTAGTCGTGAAGCGGTGCTGGGTAGGTAGGAGGAAAAGAGGGTCCTAAATCAAAAGTGCAGCATTACTTAATCAGAGCCCGATTACAAGACTAGTGCCTGCGTTTGACATTCCCTCCGCCACCACCAACCCTCCATGCGCGCCGCACGCGTATATGAACTCCCATCCCCGCTATTGCAATTTCACGCGCTGTAATTTTGCCCCTCATGATATGATATTGGGAAAATATAGCGTTCGCTGAGGTGTGGCAACACTGGCGTCGCATACGAGTCTGCCGCATTTCGCCCTCGCCAAAAGTTCTTGTGGGCGAAAAGAGGTTACCACGCATCCTGGCACATACAGGGAGGATCGATTAAGCTTACTAATTAATTAATCAGACATCAATGATAATGTTGTTATTGTCCTGTGAGATCTCTGCTTAGAATTTGACATTTAAAAGGTCTTCTGACATGAATTCAAAGGATATTGAATTGTCCTGGAAGATGTCTGCTTCAAAGTTGACGTTTCGAAGGTCTACTGACATAAATCCAGCGGAAAAAGACAGTGCCAAAATAAGTTACAACAAAAAAGGGTCGTTCGAGGTTATTTTTTGGTACTTTTTGTCTCTGGGTACTTTAAAGAGTGTTCTGATAGTTGGTAATTTTATGAATATGTACCAAAACCCGATGACCTGAAACCTGCGGATGACTTGATTGTTTGAGTCGGGAGTGCGTAAGGAGCTTTTCATGCAGGAAACTTAATTGAGAAAAACTTCGAAATAACTCCAAAAGTAAGGCTGAGGTGAAAATCGCGAATCAAAACTTCCAAAGACAGAACTTTTCCCAACATATTCGAAACGTACTCTTAGAACACATTTTTTTCTTTTTTAAAACAAATATAAAATAAGAATTACGTCCGACTCATAAAACCATTTTACCCACTAATTCCTTTTTTTTTTTTTTTGAAGCTGGGTCGTTTTGATTCATTCGATTTAATCAATTAAGCTTTTTGTTTCTATCTTCATTTTGAAGTGGAATAAGTTAATAAGAGAGAGGTATGCCGTACTTACCGGTTATAAAGGGTTGTCTACACGTGAACAAAGTATGATGAAGGGCGGGTCTGTAAGTTGCCGCCGGCCTCGCAATTGGCTTGGCGACATTATTTCCAAACCCGAACAACGATGCCCTTCCTGCCTCTTGAAATATCGACGCTGTGAAAGAAAAAGAAGAAAAATTAATTTTGAAAAATGTATCGAACAAATCATTATCTAGATTGGTTCATGTCTATTACTATATACACATTCAACAGTCATTATACTGATGTGCTAAGGAAAGACGTCGTAAGAGCCTTCAAACGTTTGGAAATTTCTTATGCTAAAATAAGAATTTTCGAAAAACGTGTCCATATTTCTCAGAGAATACGATTTGCAATGTAAACTGTACGAAAATTTTAAAGAGAAATATTTATAACTTTTCATGAAACTTATTTTTTTACTTTTTGACAACATGCAAAGTTCATACAGCGTTTTTCAGCACGGCGGCATTGAGACACGGAGAAAGATTGGAGGCCGGCTTTTTAAGTGAGGACTCGGTTTTAGGCAGATACAACTATTACAACTCGTACGCGGTCGTGGCAGTATTCCTCGCATTTGAAGGCGCTTAAATTGCATCGAAAATTCAAGAACTAGTGGTGCACTCCTTGTGGGTATCGATGATTCGATGTGTTTCTATTGGAAGCGATAAAAGCGCTTTTGTTATTTTTTCGATTCTATTCAATTTATGTTTCGATTGGAAGGAAATTCAAAGAAAATTCAATACAAACTCTGTTTACTAGTTTGAAGAAATAAAACAGGAGCGGAAACTCATTGCGTCGCAATATGAGATACACATTTTTCGACTCAAGCACTGAAAAAACATGGGCTATATGGATATACCGTCCATTCCGGGATCAGTGGCCGAAAGTTCCGGGTGCTGAAGCAGTACCTTTAATTGCTGCCGGTGCTACGCTCGGAACGTTCGGTCTCTGAGCCCGGAACGCGAATGGTATGTCTATATAGCCCTTAAGTAAGGCTTCCACGGCCGGAGTTTCTTTTTCAGTGAGCCATCGGCATGTTGTTTTCATAAGCCCTAGAAATAGTGGCTCCTAATTGCATATTGCATAGTCCAAATGCAAGCTTATTGTTTCATGTTCGATTCATGATGATTCATGATTCGATGATTGATCCGTTTAGTTATTTCGAGGGATCATCCACAGTTTTACGGAGAACGTTGCAGAAGAAAACCGTCCGCTTCGACTTTCCCGATTCGTTCCCTCGAAACTTATTTTTTGGGCTTACCGCTCCCTTCGGGTACACGACAGGGGTAGCCGGTCTCTGGAAACGACGCTGCCCCCCCTCCCCACCCGAGTGGTCAGCGACCCGAAACAAGGAGGAAAGACCCGACGAAGCCGGGCGTCATAAATACGAAAGTGCGTGTCAGAGTGCGGATGACGCGGAGTGCGCCTAAATCTTCCCGACGGCCGCGAAAGGGGGTGCAGGGGCGGAGAGAGGGGAGGGGCGGAAGGGCGGAAATTAGACGCGAGCGCGGGAAACACAGGGCGCTCGAGGCCCGGAGACCAGGTCATCTGACACGTCGACCGCGGCGGAGAGAGCCGAGTTCAATTAAATTAGGAAGTGTTAAAGTGACTAAAAGCTATTTGTTAAAGCGAATTCTGTTTATGACACCAGTTTCACACCTCAGCGCGCCGCAGCCCGCAGCCCGCCTCGCTTTTTATCCGCACTGATGCCCTCGATCCCGATTTCGACCCTCCCCCGCCCCCGCCCGCGCCCCCGCCCTCGCGCGCCGCTCCTGCTCGCGGGAGCCCCAGGGATCCAGCCCTGGTGTTTCATCTTCGTCCTCGTCTCGGCTCCCTTTGACTGAGCTTTCTGCGACTTGCAAGACTCGACGCTTCTTTAGCCCGCTCTCGGGATGGAGGAAATACAATGGACCACGGAATTAGTTACGATTTGAAATGGTGAGCCTATATATCTCGTATAATACAAATAAAATATAGTACAAATAAAATGGGCCGATCTGAGCTTTGATGAGCCGGTATATTACCAGACACTTTTTCGGTGCCAATCCACTCCTGAACTCCAAAACTCTGCAAAGGTTTTAGAAAATAACCTCAACTGTTAAGGACTGTGAGAGAATAACCGTTCGCTTTGCGACTTAGGAGTTCAGATCCAACATTTTACCTCAAAGGACGTAAATTTAGATTTAAAAGGCTTTGAGCAGGCTGCCAATGAGTTCACAACGTCGTATGTCAAAAGTATGTCAACGTCGTATGTACGTCAAAGTTCATGGAGCACATGGTGTTCTTCGAATAGATAACTATTTGCACTCTCCGGGAAGTTCGTTGCTTAGATGGTGGAATTGAAGGCGAATTCAGTAGGTCAGCACTCACTTTTAAGTGAAGAACATCAATTTATTGGTTCCATGAACCCTGTAACTCCATTTCAAAATTGTAAACTTGACTCAAAAAATTCAATTTTTTACAAAAATAAAACTGCGCATTAAGGCCGCATTGTGACCGGATTGAGGGGGTGGCCACTTGGGCCGCGGCCCATGGCGGCAAATTTTGCAATTTTTTTAAATGTAGGTATAAAAAAAAAAATCGGATTTAGAAAAAAAAAATTACAAACAAGAAAAGGCTACAAAATCTCTCATTTCCTGAGAGTATAGTAATTTCTAATTTTGTCGTCTTTCAGTGATGCAAGAGACAGCACCTTTAATTAGTCGAGTTAAGAGAGAAACCAAACACACAATTTGGCCTGGAACGGCGCAACTTAGGGAGAAATGATGACGAGGACTTGAGATGAAAAGGAGAGGCCATCGACGCGGCAATCGGCATGTAACACATATTAGCGCCTACAAGACTGCACAAATACTTCACGTATTGCATCAAACACAGTGCGGTTATTGTGGTCAGCGTAAAACGGATAGCGCCTACAAGACTGCACGAATACTTCACGCATTGCGCCAAACACAGTGCGGTCAGCGTGAAATGCATAGCGCCTACAAGACTACGTGAATACTTCACGCATTGCGCTAAACACGGTGCGGTCGGCGCGGCGCGGCGGCGGAAGTTAAAATCATTTAACCAAATTTTGTGTTTGTTCTTTCATAATTTTTTCGTTCATTTCTTATGAATGGAAGGCCTTGTCCGTTGGAGATAGGTTTACGAAACTTGACTTTCGCGCAAACTTCCGTGATTTTTTGCTAGCAGTGTTGACAGGGCTTTCCCAAAAATGTATTCAACACGAGTAAACGCGTCTTCTGCACCCCTCCCCCGCTGGCACGTTCACTTGATGATTTTAATTGATGTTTCAAAACGAATGAGAAGGGGGGGGGACAAAATACAGGCGGTCCATGGGCGGCAAGTAGGAAAATCCGGCCCTGAAACTGCGCAATTTTTGTCCAAAATTGTTCTTGGTTTTTGATGAGATCTGAAGAAAAATCGTGGTTTTCCAGTTAGAAATACCCAAGTCTCCCTTGGTAAAAATTCCATTTACCAAGGGCAATTTGGCAACCTAGAAACGCAGTTACGTTCTTTTGCGAGGGAAACAACGATATTACACCAAAATAAGTTGGTAATATTGTAACAACATAGACTAAACAAGTAAATACACCGTCTTAACCGGGGTACGTCCTTTGTCCCATGTGCATGTGTCGTGATATCGTAGATGAAACAATAGTATTTGATCAAAACACGACACCGGAGCAAAGCAACGTTTGCGATGAGGAAGTGGTCATCAATACATCATTTCCTCGGGGAAGTCAAACTAGCAGCCGAGCGCGAAGATTATTATTTACAAAGAAATCATACCTCTCCATCCATTCCTGTTTGCTCTCTTTCTCTCTCTCTAAACCCCCCTCCCCTCCACTCCCTCTCTCAGGCTCAGCTTCTGCTCCTACTTCCTTTATTATTACATTGTAAAATACTCGTGTGTAAGTCGCGAGAGGGGCCGTTATATTGTTACTAAGTGGTGCGCCAGCTGACGCCACCCCGGTGCCGCCGGATCGTCCTCCGTCTCGTTGAAAACCGCGCATAGCCCCCTGGAATCTCACGGCACATGCGTGGTTTTTACTTATAGCAGTTTCGCGACGGATTCCCATCGACTTGACAACAGAACCGGACTCCCTTCGGCTCGCTTCTCTCGCCGCGCCCCCCGAAATCTGAGACTACACCCTCAACCCCCAACTCCACTTAGAGCCCCTTATTTGCCCCCCTGTTAGCCGTGCTGTCAAATTGCCTCATCGACGGATACCTTTTGTTCCAAATACATCAAGATGGAGGGCTCGCGGCAGGAAATAAAGCCGTGCTTCTGATTGGTTAAGGGTATGGCGGCTAAAACGAGATAATTTTGAAATTTCGAAAGGAACGGAAGGGATTACTTGGATTACATTTTGCAAAAAGGAACCAAGAGCATTCCAATGTCCCTAAGATTGTGCAAGTTTGTTTACCTTACACATATGCATACACAGATTATCTAAACTGAATTGCTCTTTACTTCCAATAAACTATAACTTAAAGACTAAAACTACCTTTGTAAATTAAATTTTTTGCATGATTTCAGTAATTTGATTGAATGAATATAAGATACACAATCTTAGCAACATTGGAATGCTCTTAGTTCCTTTTTGCAAAATGCAATCCACTTAGTGTTACCACTTACTTCGTACCAAAAATCTCGTCAACACAAGAGGAAAAATCAGGATAAGTTTCGGTACTACCTTCTGGTAGTCTAGCGAAGGCAGTTCTACTCAGAAAACATTCACCACGTACCACCCCTCATTCGAGGAGTTGTACATNGGGGGGGGGGGGGGGGGGGTCTGCACCTCAAGCTGCGTCTACATAGGCGCCCAAAAATTCTAAATTCCGGCCCCGATCATATAATATCATGGGAACCGTCATTATGAATACCATGAATTCCATTATAAAAGAAATCGAAATAATCGTGCGGTACTGTAATGCATGTAATCCTCAAAAAATTCGTCTAATTTAACAGAATATCGATCTCTGAAAACATTTTGACTGCATTTTGCAATCGGGACTCACTATTTCAGAAACAACATAACTGCCATAGTTTTTCTTTGCAGATACGTGCTTCAACGGCTAAGCTAGAAAAAGTGGTTCTTAACTGAAGAGTGAAGTTCACTCAAGCAGTCATTCGTTATGTGGCCTCGAGCATCATTTCGCCTTCAAATACGCATAATACTTCCACGACTGCATCGGAGTCGAAATATTTGTATCATATGAGAAGCTCTCCTCGAAAAGCTCGACTAGTGCAGTCACTGTATTTGTCAGGTCATCGTCGTGTAAACTTGCTTAACTCTTCTATGCTGAAGGCAGACTTCATAAGTATTTGGTAGTAACAAATTTTCCCCGATAAAATTCGAATTTTCATGAGATTTTGTGAATTTCCTTTTTTGAAATTATTAGAAAATTGTATTGCAATTCAACGAAATATTTCAGAAAATGTCAAGAGGAAATAATAAAAAAGAACTAAATAAAACTAAACTAATACTAAATAAATGTTCGTTTGTAAGCAACATTCATTTGAAAGTACATGTCCATCGAGCGAAATTTGCTGGCGTCCAAATATCCACACGATTTTCTTCCATAGCTCTGTAGCTCTGAACAGAGACTCGATTGGTTTGTATGTCTAAACCACTTGTTGAGATGGATAACTTTTTAACTCATAGTGTCTGTGAACCAATTTAATGTACACTTCGAGCAACCCTTGATTTGCCCCTCCCTCCTCCCCTCAAGACCGTGCATTTCTTTGGACCGATTATTTTCTGAATGACGAAAGCATTACAAACACAATTTCCACCATTGCCAATATTGTAGGGGTTGCGTTGGGGAGAAACGGGCCAAACACCAACTTCAGCTAGGACCAGAAACCTCGCTTCACCCAGATCCAAAACGCAACTAACTCCGGAAAACTTGCCCGGGGCGGTGGCCGCACTCTAAGCCGGAAAACCCGACGATTGATCGGTCAGCGATTTTGGCCGAACAATCGTCACTTTTTCGGGCAGAAGACGGCCACGATCGGACATTCTTTCCGCTAAATTTGATGTAAGGACAAGTCACATCATGCAATCCTCAGCATTTGCACGGGTGTGATGCCCGCACGACCCACTTTCAGCCTGCCTCTGGCTTACCGTTTGTCGCCCGAGCATACCACCCACGACGCAGTGGAGCTTTCCACCGAGGTTGGTTGGAGGGTGTTTGATGAGGTTTCCAGAATCTTTCGCTGAAAGATCCTGGAAACCACCACAATATACTAGTATGGAGGATCTCTCGCTTCGGTAACGACGGAGGTGATAAGTCAAAATGTCCAAAAGAAAATGTCCCGAGTAAAAAAATGTCCAATATAGGAAAAGTCCATAAGTAAAAAATGCCCGAGTACGTGGAATGTCCAGTAGCAGTACCATCGCCAAAATTAAAAATGCCCAAATGTCCGGTTATTGTGAGTCATAATTAATATTACCATTTATCTGTTAGTATAGAAATTTTTCATACTTCCTCAGTGAGCATTTTTGTTTTCGGCCATAATACCGCTATTGAACATTCCAGATTTTTGGACTTGTTTCAGAAATGGACTTTCTTGACTTTGGACATTTTTGTACTTCGGACACTTATCTTCGGACATTTTGTCCTCACCAGAACGGACCGCACAATGTAAAGATTTCTCACCTGAGGGACTATTCTGCTGCTTGAAGACGTTTCCGAGGATAGCATCGACGCTGAACTTGAGCTCGGGCTTCTCGACGGTGACGCCCTCTTCGGCGCCGGTGGGCGTCCGGTGGGCGTCCTCGGACTTGATGGCCGCCGTGAACTTGCTCGGGCTGTACCGATCCAGGAAGATGTTCTTGATGACCTTGTCCGAGTGCGAGACGCTCTCGTAGTACTGCTTGTCCAGCTCCTGCCGGCTCTTGCACATCTCGAAGAAGTTGAAGGTGCCTTTGCAGTTGCCGTTGCGGGCGGGCGCGGGGGCGTCCGGGGTGTGCCGCCGCTGGAGCTCGAAACTTAGGTCCCGCGAATCCGCGTTCAGGAACGAACCGTCCATCGAGTCCCGGCGCGCCGCCGCCTCCTGCTCCTCTTCATAATCTGGAATTAGAGCATTCATGCCAGAATGAAAATCAATATTTACCGGCAACGATGGAGGGCTGATTTTTGAAACCTATAGACAAGGCGATAGACAGAGACGACCAGTGGCGTGGCGTGCTTTGCGATAAATCGATTGATCTGCCATTTAAACCTATGGAAAAGGATCGATAACACCTTCTTCGCAGCGAACCCCTTTATAATCGATTCTTTAATACAGGTTTAAATGGCATAACAATCGATATCTCGCAATTTACGCCACGCCACTGGAGACGACAAAGGGAAAATAAAGCAATCCTATCGGTTGAAATGGATGATCTCATAGACCTACGTCACAAAAGCGTTACAAGGTGGAGGGGGGGGGGGGTAAAAAGTTCCGAAAAAGCACGTTACGTAATTTAGGGACGGCCCCTAAGGGAGAAAATGATGGATTATTAATATCGTGGGTTGCTGTTCTGATTAGTCTTTTACTAACCTCCTTTGTCCATTGCAACCTCCTTCTTCTACCAATAGGATCACTTTTATTCTCCTTGTCTCCTTTGTTTGTCGTATTCAATGATCAGCTCGCTGACTCAGAAGGCTAGGGAACGATCGCCCCCTAGAATTTACCAAAAGTATCCGCAGATGCCTCTCTGGACAGAATTTGAAGGCCCCATTCAGCACCTACAAAAAATCTCTCGGGTACTTCATTTTTGACTACCCTTTATCAGGAAAAGTTTGGGAGCTCCTAAAACTGTTTTCGGTGCGGCCAGTCCCCCAAAAAATTTTGAACCAGTCCGCCTCTCAAGTCTCAACAAACGTTTCAACGTGTCTAGCTAGCATGAAAATGAAACATAAATCTTAATTTACGATTAGATGATATCTAAAGTACTGTACATATGTTCAAAGTGAGGCTTCGAAGTGGCGGATGTTTGGTCAAGAGTGTTGCGCACATAAAGCCCTGGATAGACGATCAAATTCCGAACCAATTCCGATCAAAGTAGACATGCTGATGACTGATGGTCACCATCTACCATCAAATTTTGATGGGCCGCACTTATTTGTTCAAAGTAAGATCAGAATGGAGTGCCACCATTCATCATTTCCTGCCACAGGAAACATTTCTGCCAAGTTTTCATTTTAAAATGAAGCAAATTAATGAGTTTAAGACTGATGACTCCCGACACTTTGATGCTACTTTGATCGGAACTGGTTTGGGAATTTGATCGTCTATCCAGGGCTTAATGCGCGGTAATCGATGACAACACTTTGGCTAAACAGCCACCACTTTGAAGCCTCACTTTGAACGTGTATACCCCCTTTAAGATAGAGTCTGGGAAAATCCCAATGGACTGAAGTACAGCTACTTCAATTCTCCCACACTTCAGGACACGTTTCCCCCGACTTTATATGATTTTGGAATGGTTTCAAAAAGGCTTACTCACCGGAAAACTGAGACTTTGGAGGATGACCCGGCGACGACTCCCTGGACTGGGACGAGTCTCGCTCCTCCTCCTCCCTGGAATGGGAGTCCTCCCTTGGGTCATCGTGGCCGTACTCGGGGGTGGCCTCCAGCTCGAGCGCCTCGAACCGGTTGAAGACCGGCGAGCAGACCGGTTCGCCGCTCCCCTCACCGCCCCGCCCGGGCCCCCCGCCGGCGCCGGACCCCGGGAGGGGCACCCGCGCGCCCAGCAGGTTGTCGACGGCGAACGGCAGGCACCGACTCTTCATCTCGCACTTGCTCAGGTGACCCATGCGCTCGCCGATAGCCGAAAACATGCCCCGCGCCCGGCCTCAGCATCTAGGCTGCCCGCGCAACCGGTTCCCGCCCGGATCGGAAGTCTTCCGGAATCTGCCCGCCGAGATTCCACACCGCCTCGATTGATCCGGTTCGACGGCGCGGTGGCAGTTACTCTATTGTCCTCTTATGATTCAGCATCTATTCTGGCGAACCGGTTTCAGGAGTATCATCCTCCCGGGATTCAGCATTTATACTGGTGAACCGGTTTCAGGGGATACTCTATTTCCTCTCGGGCGTCAGCATCCACTCTGATGAACCGGTTTTTGGAGTTGCTCTACGATCCTTCCGGGATTCACGATCTATTTTGGTAAACCGGTTTCAGAGGCTACTCTATCGCCCTTCCAGGATTTACCATCTATTTCGGTGAACAGGTTTGAGTGGCTACGCTATGACCGTCTCGGAATGCAACATCTATTTCGGTAAGCTGGTTTCGGTCAGGATGGATGCCTCCCTTGAGAAGTAAAACCGGGTCATGAAGTATGAAGCTGTTTCACCTGATAAGGTCACTAGAGGTTCATTAGGTCGCTTCTCCGTGATTGGGCTCCAATTTTAATGATCCGGTTTCTCTCCGGTTGGAAGATGTATTTGTTGCGTTTAAACTCGCAAAATTTTCAGATCAAATTTTATGCACTGGGTCGTTTTGATGAACTTCAGTCTCTACTCAGCAGAAACGGTTTTAACCCAGGTTGGTCAAGCGAATGACACTATTTTATTGATGATTCTTTACGTCAATTGGTATACTATCCGGGTAGAAGTCTTATATTCCAGTTAATTTGATTATTGACATTCATTGTTTATAGGCTGCGTAAACTTCAATCGTTGGCTTGAAAGGATATTTTGAATCCAGAGTGGATGTGAAAATCAGGTGACTAAGATCCAGCTCCGCATGGTTTTGTTGATGTATTTTCCCAACCGCAGTTATTCTGTTGACTGCGCAGAGCATAGGCAGATGATGAAAAATTTACATTTTCATTTAGAAGGTGAAATAAGCGACCTCGATGATCGATTATTCGTCTCAGTTCTGACGTTCTTTTTTTACCTTTTTTTTAGTGAACCTTAAAATCTCTGCCTTAAAATGTTCATAAAATTTTGCCCTGGGGCTTTTAATTCTCAATATACACTACCACGCGATTTCATTGTCAGTCTCTTAATGTAATTCAATTTGTGAAAATCATTTAGAGCAGAATAAGCTTAGATTAAATTGGAAGCCAGGAGCTGCTTCAGTTGATCCTGGATAGAGATTGCAAAATTATACTCTTCCGAATATCCCTTGTGCTTGTGTTCTGCAACAAAAGAAAATATACATTCATGAAATATAACATCCATTTAGTTCATAATATAGTGTCACTCAGCAAAAGAGGGGAAAAAGGAAAAGGATACATAAGGCAGGGCCGAATTAAGGGGGTGGCCACATGGGCCGCGGCCCATGGCGGCAAATTTTGCAATCTTTTTGAATGTAGGTATCAAAAAAAGAGAGAAAAAAATCGGATTCAGAACATAAATTACAAACGAGAAAAGACGACAAAATCTCTCATTTCCTCAGAGTAAAAGTATATAGTAATTTCTAATTTTGTCGTCTCTCGGTGATACATGAGACAACACCTTCAACACGCTATTTGACCTGGAACGGAGCGGCGCGGCGGTCAGCATGAAACGCATAGCGCCTGCAAGACTTCATGAATACTTCACGCATTGCGCCAACACAGTGCGGTCGGCGCGGCGATGGAAGTTACAATTTTTAACCACATTTATGTTTGTTCTTTCATAATTTTTTCGTTTTTTTTTTTTAATAAATGGAAGGCCTTGTCCAAACAAGGATGGGTTTACGGAACTGAACTTTTTTAGGGCCGGTTTTTGGAGTTGTTTAGGCCGAGTAGAATCTGGTTCTGCAGATCCACTCTTCAATTTCGTGAAAATTTGACGCAACTACCAGAATACGAACGCGGAATCTCTTGACCTAGATTCGGAACCGCTGACCACTTGGTCAACTTTCCCGACCGCTCTATCAAAGTTTATGGAGCAAAATACAAAATGGGTGTCATTTGAATGAATAACTATTCGCGCCCTCCTATTCATTGGTTATCGATGTGATACAACGAGATGAGATAAGCTGTCTAACCAATTAGAAATGAGGGCTTCCACTCCTATCCTTCTCCTTCTTCTTCTTCTTTTTTAAAATAAATCCGCTTAAAGCTATAACTCCAATTCAAATGTCCACAAAGCATTTGAAAGTTTAAACGGGTGGGATGGGGATGGAATCTCACAAGGAGGGGAGAGGAGTCGAAGAATTGGAAAGAGTATGTGACGTCATTTATGAACGGCCTCTCTGTACCACCACTTTTCTTTTTTCAAAACGAACTTTTAGGAGCCTCGAAGTTTAATCGTTTCTGTACCGAACGACTCAATTTTACCGCGTGTTTCAAAATTTCTATATTTCTATATTAAAGCTCGGAAAATTTGAATCGCAGTACTCGAAGATCGTTGAACCCCAGAAACACAGTTGGTTGGTTCGAAGGGGTCTGATTAATGAGTCCTGAATTTTTAACCCGGAGAATCCCTCTCGAGGAACTTTTCTATGGTCCCCCCCTCCCACTCCACTCGAGCTCCTCCTTGCGTATAAATGACTCGTCTGGTTAAGACAAGCGCGACGTGATGAGGGTGAGGCCGTACGGGAGGGTAGGGGAGGGATGGAACGCATTAATGGCGGAAACCAATATTAATTGATTAAAAACAGTTTATTTACCGGAATTGGATTAATGAAGCGGGCAAAGAACGCGTAGGCGAGGGGGAGGAGGGGGTGTAATCACCAGTGAATGTAACTCAATTCCGCGATCTAGGGTCTTGCCGCACAGTGAGGATTGTTGAACATTTAATTGCAGGAGGGAAGTTCTCGAATACTGCTGTGCTAAGGATGAACGCCGTATGAGCCATCAGGCGTTGCTAAATTTCCTTTGATAAAACACGAATTTCCTGGCAAACTTATGAATATTTTCCTTCAAATTTTTCAGGAAATTTTGTTCGCAATTTCACCTAAAGATTTTCAAAATTCAAAGGAAAAATATTCATAACTTTCCTCAAGAATAAGCATTTTATCGAAGGAAATTTTGCGACTCTCGAATAATCATACAGGGTTCTTCCTTAGCAAGGCAGAATAATCCTTGATCTAAAAACACCACATGATAACTAAAACTATCACAGTTGCTTGGATAATACTATGTTGTGTGCAGTGACTTTATACATGTAGACCATATGAAAACTAAGTCCGATGAGAGCCCGATGTAGATCCAGAGAAACGACTGCGACTCTGAATGGGAGGAGGTTATTGTCAACCTTGGATGGCTGTCATCTGCCCCCACTTTTGCCGTGTTATTAAAAAGATCAGTAATGAGCTATCAACCTAATTTTGGGGGAAAAAGTTCTCTGCTGAACGTCATCAACTTAATGATTCCACTAAAAAAAGCAATTCGTCCTACGATTGCATGCAGAACGGAGCATTCGCAGGTGTCTGAAGTTTGATGAATTTCGTGTTTAAGTGGAAACTACGAAGTGAACTAAACATAACGAAACCCTTGGTTCATGAATTGAGCAATGATTGGACAAGTTATGACAAAATGATCTAATTTGCTAAAATACATATGTGTTTAAATGGGAAATGTTGTCAACAAACTGACGTCTAGGCGGTGCATTTTCCACTTTCAAAACTATTTTACTACGATTTCCCACATCAGAAAAATTTAAGAAAATTAATGCGAAGTCATCTTCTTAAGCACTTTCAGATGAAGCAATGCATATTTTTCGTGCAAATTATCTATTTCTTGAAAAAGCTGCGGGCAGGATGTCAAATTCTTCAGATATCAGGGAACTTTGCCGAACCCTGAAAAACGCAGGGCATTTTGCAGTGAATCGTTGAATTTTTTTCCAGTCAAAACATTGCATAATGAATAATAGATTAGATAAAAATAGGAAAATACAATAGAAATAGATTTAAGAGTGAGAAAATCCACTGTCTAGTTCTGGTGGCGTTTAATATTTAGACATATGTATTTCAGCAAATTAGATCAGTTCGTCAAATCTCCTCCAATAATTGTTCAATTTTTGAACCAAGGGTATCCTCGTGTGCAGTTCACTCCGTAGTTTCCGCTTTAACACGAAATGCATCAGATACCTGCAAATTCTCCATTAACACTATCGGTGTGCGAAGAATGTGCGCGCAAACGTTTGCAACCCCTTTCACACTCTATCTCTCTTATACGCGGAGAAAAAAATGACCGATTCAACTATCCAATCTACATTACGCAAAAAAACATATCGACGGTGTAAGTCGGCAATCACATAACTCGTTTGCGGTGTCTGAAAATCTCCGCCGTAATGTTATTTTTTAAAGGAGAACAAATTGACATCATTCCTTGAAGTTTTTGCAGAATTTTCTTCGCATAGAGAAGGAAAATCAAGACAGTTTTGAAGAATTGCCGTTGAGTAGTTTTCGGTGTAAAAAATAAAGTATGGCGGGAAGTCTGCGACGTCGCAAACCGAGTTATGTGATTGCCGACTTACACCGTCGATATTCTATAAAAATTTACAGATTGATCTGCGGTACATTTCTCAAAATGCAGTGATAAAACTTTCTGAGAAATTGTACGTAACATTAAACTTTAGGGCGCCTTAATTTAAACTATATCGGAGCTTTGTTCCATGTTTTCGTGGTCAGAGCATTTTTTCCTTAAAAAATGCTCTGATACTCTTCACACCTCCAAATTCTAGAAACTGAATTTTTTTCTAAAAAAATGATGTAACAACCCAATCGAACTGCAAAAACATAACCAGAATTTGGATAATTAATTCATACTGAAATTTGCAGTATTGATTCCAATATATACATATATAATTTTGAACTACCTAGATAGAAAAAGATTCAATTTTTATGATGGTTACGTCACTGCCACACATTTGCATGCAATATGGTGATTTAAAAAGAGCCATGGAATTTTCGACGTTTTACTCTTTCAAATATAACTTGCACAAAATATGTCGCGCTTTAAAAGCGTGTTATGTCGTTTATCTAAGCAACCGTAGAGATTTGAACACCGAGAGAATGAAGTATGCATTAGAATTTTCTAAAGTAGGCGTTCATCTGAAAATTTCACCTTCAGTCTTAAAAATTTGGGCGTCTGTTTGCTCTGCGGGTGGAACTAAACTTAAATTCTCTCCACACGATGCCGTTGAGTGTATAATATTGCCAAAAACTTCATGTAGATTTGGGGACTCCATTATCATACGAAATGCGTTCAGGACCGGTCTTACTTCCTTAAACAGTAAGACATTCTTACACTCATAGGAGATACATCGATTAAAAGTTGGGTAACGACAATAGATCTCTTTCCTCATTTAAAAACGTTCCAAACAAAAAAAGTATTACTTTCGACTTCCGGCAACTGGAATTGTAGTTCCATTTCAAAAAGAAAGGCACATAGTGTGAGCTTTGTTTTATTTTAAGCAATGATCATTTTAATTTTTTTTTTAAGTGTTGCATTTAAAAAAAAAAAACACGCGGACGTGCTTTCCCTTATGGAATATGTTCATCAAACGAATTCTAGTTTTCCTAGAACCAGTTTCGTAAATTTCGAAATTATTAAAAATGTTGGTAAGTGCTTGGACGGATGGTCATGGTCAAGGACCATAACAAAAGTTATTGACAAGGAGCTCCCACGACGGTGAAAGTCGGCAATCACATAACTCGTTTGCGGTGTCTGAAAATCTCCGCCTCTACGTCATTTTTTTAAAGGAGAACAAATTGATATTATTTCTTGAAGTTTTTGCAGAATTTTCTTCGCATTGAGAAAAAAAATCATGACAGTTTTAAAGAATTGCCGTTGAGTAGTTTTCCATTTTAAAAATAAAGTATGACAGGAAGTCTGCGACGTCGCAAACCGAGTTATGTGATTGCCGACTTTCACCGTCGTCCCAGCTTTTCAACATGTTATAAATTTGGATTGAATTTAATAAATACATAGGTTGTCCCAAAAGTACTGCACGTTTTTTTATTTTGGACGAACGGTAGCAGATATCAAAATGCGGTTTGTGTAGTCTTAAAGACAGAGCAATTACCGATAAAACAACACAAATCCGAGCTCTCTAAGTCAAAAAATGACCAAGTTACAGGGTTTTGAAAATGGCTTCCAGAGGGGACCCCTACGGAAATTTTAGCTTCTTTTCTGGGGGAAAAAAAACAAAGATTTAAAGATTCAAGATCAATTGGTTTTATTAAATCAATTTTACACAATCTTACCAAGATTACTGGCATTTAATCCTCTTCACTTGACGACTGGACACTGGTTTCCTTCTCAAAATACCTTCCATCGCTTGCCACACAGCGCCGCAACCGTTCTTCCCACTTCTTCAAACATGTTTTTTCTTCTTGCCTGATGTTCTTCAAGAAAGTTTCAACAGCTCTTTCTATCTCGTTGATGGAGTTCAATTTCCTGCCTCTTAAGCCCTTTTTCAGCGTAGGGAATAACCAAAAATCGCAGGATGCAAGGTCCGGGCTGATATCATGTTGCCAACTTCATTCGATCGCGATGATTTCTCTGTAGAATTTTTGATTAATCAAATCTTTGTTTTCTCCAGAAAAGAAGCTAAAAATCCTGGAGTGGTCACCTCTACAAGTCATTTTCAAAACACTGTAACTTGGTCATTTTTTGACTTAGAGAGCTTGAATTTGTCTTGTTTTATCAGTAATTGGCCGGTCTTTAAGACTACACAAACCGCATTTTGATATCTGCTACCGTTCGTCTAAAAAAAAAAACAATCAACTCTTTGTTTTTTTCCCGGAAAAGAAGCTAAAATTTCCGTAGGGGTCCCCTCTGGAAGCCTTTTTCAAAACCCTGTAACTTGGTCATTTTTTGACTTAGAGAGCTCGGATTTGTGTTGTTTTATCGGTAATTGCTTTGTCTTTAAGACTACACAAACCGCATTATGATATCTGCTACCGTTCGTCCAAAATAAAAAAACGTGCAGTACTTTTGGGACAACCTATGTAGAATCCAAAAGTTGTGCTGATCAGTTGCTTTGAGGAGAAAGAGCAGCACACGTTGACTACATTTTGCAATAAGGGACCACTATATACAGATGGTTAATCCATAAATGAACATATTTGCATAGGAGAATTAATGACCGGTGTCGTAAGCTGTAGCTGAATCTTATGCTGCTCTGCTAAGGAAAAACGCCGTTTGATCCTTCGGATGGTGCTAAATGTCCTTTGATGAGTATGATTTGTAAAATGAGCCAGAAATGGTGTTTCCTTATTGCAAAATATAGTCCAAGTATCACTATGCGGTTGGTTCCTTCATGTGAATTGTATTCACCCACAGGAAATTAGAAAGATAGCAAATAGTAGATTTTTGTATATTGGATTACTTTGTTATGTTTTTATCTCTGTTTTCAACATTTTCCTTGTACACTTTCAGTGTCCAGATTTTAATTACTCTTTTTTATTATTATTACTAAAGGTTTTTATCCACTATTCAATGTTTCTATATTTTATTAAATTTACCAATGATATAAAGTAAATCGACGGTGAAAGTCGGCAATCACATAACTCGTTTGCGGTGTCTGAAAATCTCCGCCTCTACGTCATTTTTTTAAAGGAGAGCAAATTGACATTATTTCTTGAAGTTTTTGCAGAATTTTCTTCGCATTGAGAAGAAAAATCATGACAGTTTTAAAGAATTGCCGTTGAGTAGTTTTCCATTTAAAAAATAAAGTATGACGGGAAGTCTGCGACGTCGCAAACCGAGTTATGTGATTGCCGACTTGCACCGTCGAAATGTATTTCATTAAAACGTGTTAATGAAGAAATCATTCGGACAACCTTGATATAATCTGTAAATTATCATAAAATTCATTTCTATAAAGCTAGGCACTACCGTGTCAAAAATTAATATAAGATAAAAAATTTCAATTTAATCCAGCATAATTGAATATTTGCGTGATATTGCATCAAAAGAAATGTCGGACTCTGATTATTCTCCAGCGACATATTCACTGAAAAGTTTTTGATGATGGCTAAAAAATGAATATCAGCTGTATATCCAAAGTGGCAATGAGTTTTTCAAAAATAAGCGTTTCATTTTTTCAATTATAATGATATCATTCAAAACTGGACATTTTTCTTCTACTTAAGGGTCTTTATAGTCGCACAGATGAGTAGTAATGACGAGTATTTACATCACAAAAGAAAATTGAAACATGGAGACAAGACTACCCAAAAACTACGGTTTACGGTTCTATGAATGATTTAATGGTCGGATAGCTTGCACAGTCGAGGGCTTATAACCTAACGAGGGCATACAATTTCATTCATTAAAAACCAACTAAAAAATGTGTCGAACTTCAGCAATATTGAAAAACGCCTCTACGGCTGTACTGTCTATATCACGTGCTGAACGTATTATTACCTACCATAGTCATCAGTAGCATTTTCTGACCGCAGATTTAAAGAAAAAAGTATGGGGGAAAGCTTGGGTCGGATACACAGGACCATTGGTCAAAACTGCCGTGCTAAGTAAAAACGTCGTATTAGCATTCAAATGTTGCCAAATTTCTTCTTTAAAAATATCTATTTTTGAAGAAAGTTATGAATTTCCTTGAAATTTCCGGAACTTTTAGATCAAATTACGAAAGAAATCCTGCGCAAAATCCGAGGAGAAATATTCACAAATATTGTTGAAAATTCGTGATTTGTCGAAGGATATTTGGCGACGCCTCACGACTCATGCGGCGTTCTCACTTAGCACGACAGAAAAGGTATGACCTAATCTCGTGTTGACTAAAAACGCCTTCTTTGCCTCATACGTAAAGAATTTTTTTCATGAGAAGTAAAATGGTAGAGTCGGAGTAAGTAGCTAGGTCGCCTTCAATGTTTGAGGTAGGCAAAATGATATCTTCCAAACCTGAATTAGCTACCTGGGCCGTTCGAAAAGTAGTGAGACAAATATTTCGACTTCAATAGTAAGCTAGGTAGAGACTTTTTCTTGGTCTTGTTTGAAAGACAGGCTTAATAGCTTTCTATTGAGGATAAGCTCAACTCATTTGATTGAAAATTAAAAGAACGTTAAGAGGGTTTGAAAGGCGAGTGCAGTGTTGCAGCCTTCGACTTTCAACAAAGATTTTCGCTCACCAAAATTGGTCCTTTAAACTAGTTCAATGCAATGTTACGCCTATAACACCTTGGCGACCCTAAGAACTATTTGTGTGCATTTTATCGTAGTCGTCATTCAACTACATGACCAGGATCCAAAGGGTAACTAAGGGTAACCCGGTTGTCATATTGCAAACCGAAAATCGGGTAAATTTGGCCGGTGCTTCGTAAGCTAAAAACGCTACTGATAACGATCCAAAGTATGATAAAACAGAGAAAATGAAGACTCGGGTCATTTGGCACATGGAGGCAACGGTACTTTTGAAAAAAAAATTCGATATTTTGGCATATTGGCAGAACCACCCCTCACCCCCCCCCACCTCCTCATATTACAAAAATAAGCAAAATAAAATAAAATAGTCTAATAAAAATAAGTAAAATAAAACAGAAGATTTGAAGACTCTGGTCATTTGGCACGTGGAAGCAACGGTACTTTTGGAAAAAAATGATCTAGATTCGGGCTTATTGGAAGGATCACCCCCACCTCCTCACATTATAAAAAAAAAGCAAAATAAAATAAAATAATCTAATAAAAATAAGTAAGATAACACAGAAGAAATGAAGACTTTGGTCATTTGGCACATGGAGGCAATGGTGCTTTCGGAAAAAATGAGCGAGATTTTGGCATGTTGGGAGGACCTCTACTCAACCCTTCACCACCTCTTATTTTAAAGGGAGGGAAATTAACCTCAAAAACACCTTTTTATCATTCTGTGCTTTTGTCGAGACTCAATATGGTTAAAAAAATCATTTTTTCACAAATCGAACACACATTTTACTCACCACTCTCATTAAGCGAGGGCTTGGACTACCACTCCTGTTGTATCCAAAATTTTATATCCTTCGAAACTCGGGCGTTTGCCTGTATATTACAACGGTGTCCTGTGCGCCCGAGGTCGAGAACAGAGAGATCAAGTATCCAAAAACGAGGGAAAATCGACACTCGCGCGCGGACGATGATCGAGGGATCAAAACTCAAGACGCGCCGCGGGAAGGGCACAACACGAAATTAGCGTGGCCCGAGCGGTTGATAGCGGCTCAGGGATGGGGCGTCGACGCAGGGACGCGGGATCTCCATTTGAGCGGAGCCGCGACGAATCAGAGCCGCGCTCGGCCCCGCCGACCCCGCCCCCTGACCCGTCCCATGATACCGGCGGATCCTTGATACCCTTTTTATTTGGCATGTGTATTCAGCTTGTGGTAACACAACACAATCTTACATTGATTTTGACGGCGGCCCTCGGCTCAATTGCCTGATAAACCCCACCTAAGCCTCGATGTCTTTTTATCGCTGCCCTCTCTCCGCTCCGCCGCACGGTGGATCGGGCCGATAGGTGAGCTCGGACGAAATTTGGAAACTTTAAACGCCTATAACTCCGTTTATACGAAACTTTGAGATTCTAAAAGTGGTTCCATTGCTTTCCGCGTGAAAGCAGCTGTGTTCCCATTTCCCGGAACTAGTTCCGAATTCCGGAACTTTTGAGATTTTTTTGAATTCTTTCCGGAACTTTTCAAATTCCCGAAATGTTCCGGATCTTTTGCATTTTCCGGAACTTTCTCGGAACTTTAGAAAAAATCTGAAAAGAATCCCGGAACTTTTGACGGTCATGGAGTGTGAGAAAGTGGAACAAAAAAGTTCCGAATTCCGGAACTTTTGACTGACATGGGATGGGAGCACCGTGTGAAATATTCTCCGATGAGCACCCCTCGAAAAAAATGTGACAAAAGGATCAAAATTTGCAGTTTTGGTGAAAAACTTCATGCCCGGCCTCTCTAATTGACTCGGTCCGCTGTGTTCCGCACCATGGCATGGTGGATTCGAGTTCAGTGGGAGAGCTCAGACAAAATTTGGAAACTTTAAACGCTCATAACTCCGTTTATACGAAACTTTGAGGTTCGGAAAGTGCTCTCATTGGTTTGCTCGTAAAACTTTCGTCTGGAAACACCCCTTGAAGTTTATGACGTGACGATATAGACATCAAAATTTGCGGTTTTAGTCAAAAATTTCATGTCCGACAAGTCTAATAGACTTGATGCGCTGTGTGCCGCATCGTGGGCCCTGCGATACAAAAAAAAAAAAAAAAAGTCCCCGCCTGAATTATTGTCACAATATTTTGCTAAAGCAATGTGTAAGCATAGACTGTTTAATTTACAGCAAACTGAGCAAACACTCTGCCGATATTTTTACGCGAAAAAAGTATAGATGCATATGAAAAAAAAAGAAGGAAAAAATTAGGGTGAATCTCCTAAAATTCGTCGTTTCGGAACGTAACTCTACTCCAAAATCGCATGAAATTGGCTTAAACAATTCAAGTTTTTACTATAGTCTACCTGCCCGATTTCCCCCTCCCCCCCAAAAAAAAAAAAAAAATATTATCTGATTGTTGAATGAAATCGGGAGGAAAATGAAGAAAATTTTCTTCTACATATGCGCGAATCTTTCTTTCGTGAAGGAAATTTGGCAACGCCTGAAGGTTCATACGGCGTTTTTTCTTAGCACGGCAGTATACCATAACGCTACGAATCATCGTAATTTTCTGAGTTGACACTCATGCCGCTTGCAAATTGGCTGTCTGCGAAATATTATACATTAATTTTCAATTTATCAACCTTTCAATGCTAAATTTTGAACAAATGTTTTACCCCTTTTAATTTATATCTCTTTCATACGTAAAAGAAAATATCGACGGTGAAAGTCGGCAATCACATAACTCGATTTGCGACGTCGCAGACTTCCTGTCATACTTTATTCTTTAAACGGAAAACTACTCAACGGTAATTCCTTAAAACTGCCGTGATTTTTCTTCTATGTGCGAGGAAAATTCTGCAAAAACTGCAAGGAATCATGTCCATTTCTTCTCCTTTAAAAAAATGACATAGTTGCGGAGATTTTCAGACACCGCAAACGAGTTATGTGATTGCCGACTTGCACCGTCGATATGTATCTATTCTTTCATTCATGATTTAGTTAGTTAGTTATTATAATTTTGAGACATTCAGCGACTCAGGCTATTAACGTCTTGATTTAGTATAGTCCGCAACTGTTGCTCGATTTATGTAGTTATTTTAAGTTAAATCTCTTTAAGTTATTCTTAGTGTTGTTTACTCACACGTCTGGTTGTTTTTAAGTTTATTTTATTTCTACCAGGAGGCACGCCGCGAGCCCCTTCTTCACAACTAGAGGATACTTCGTGCCATCGTGAAATTCCTATGATTTTCTTGGACCAACATTTCATGTCTTGGCATATTTGACAGGCATTCCTGTTTATATAATTTTTCTCACAGAAATATTCTGTAAATAATACTTTATCCCAGCTCGGCGTGAAAATTAGCGTAATGTATGAGGGGTTTAATTTGTGTATGGGCCTGAGAAGAATTGTAAGAAGTCAGTTTTTTTCATTGCAGATTGAAAATATTCACAGTGTATTTCTGTGATCTTGTTATTGCGTTGGCAAGCCGTTGAATCCGTAAATCGCTGCTGATTGACAGCAGAATTTTGCAAAGAATGAAATTAGCTCGGATGAGACACTTGATTTTGTGTGAATGAGATATGAAAAGTGCTTTACGTGGTTTTAAGAGTATACAATTTTTACGGCTACATTTTAGTTCTAACGCGAGCATTTTGGCCGAAAAAAAAATTGAAGAAAGGCCAGAATATTTTATCTAAACATAGACTTTGCGGATTTAATATCCTGGGTCAGCCAAAAACTTCTTCGGGCCGAACAGATAAATAAATAAGTCCGATTAAGAGGAATTTGAGAACGCAATTTGCCTATAGCAGGTCTGACCAAAATTTATGTCTCGATCAAGGTCCACACAAATATTAACAATCAAAAAATTTATCACGTATAAAGTCAGAGACTGATTTGTTTTCTTTCGCGAAAAATGTACCTCACGTTGTAAAATTACGTGCACGGAGGAAAAAACACGGTTTATTTTACGGTGACCACGGTAGTAATGCACACGAGATTCCACGGTAGTAGAATCGTGGACTTTGGTGAGATTATTGATGAGCATATAGCATTCACAACATGTTATGTAATTCACAAAACATACTAGGAGAAAATTCTTACACGAAACGATTAAAGACCAAATCCAATTTATTATCACTTAACCCTCCTATTTTGCGTTTATAGAAGCTGTTTCAAGATGTTTACTGGTACACCCCAATTTTCATTGCATCAGTCTTGTCCGTATTTATATGCATTTAGACTTTTGCAGAAAATCATAGATTAATAGTAGATTTATGTGAAAAAAGAGGGGATTGATACTCCTATCTTCTAAACTTGAAGCAATCTATCCACTAGTTCAGCAAATTTCACTACTGTGTGCACTTTATCATCCCAACAAACTAAGCGCCTCTAGCCACTTCATACAACCCCTCTGAGCCCAATCTGTTTCTGTCGCATTCTGTTACGATGATTGCTTTCTTTTTGAACCCGTCTCTTAGTTTTCAATTCGAGGAGTTAGAGATTCAGGCATCATTGATTTAAACGACCAGCACTAGTCCGAATGAGATGCTTTTTATGCACTCGCCGCTCAGTTTACAGAAAAGATTTAATGGAAACTTTTTTCTTTTTTCTAAATTGCAAAGTATGAATTACTAATCAAATTATCAAACCACGTATAGAGTGCCCGGTTAGAGAGGCCTTTCCACATATACATTAATCCATTAGTAAGGAAGAAATCTGTCCAAAAAATTAATGGTTTTAGCGCGAGCAGATTAATCTTGAGTAAGAGTAAAATATATACTGAAAGAAATTTTTTATAGAGTTCATTATTTTTTATTAATAAAAAACATAGAACTATGAAAACATTTCAATTTTGGGAATTCAATGCGAATAATTCAAGAATATACGCAAGCTATAGAAAATGTAGGATTTTAAAAATATATTTTGAGTATTTCTGCCAGAAATGTGTCTTTGAAACTGAAGTTTACATGAAAAAAAAGAAGCACATCAATTTCAAAGAGGCACATAAATTACAGATCCCACCTAATTTTCTGATATACGGTACAATTTCACACATGCGTGGTAATAACTATCTCGATCCTGGTAACAATGTAGGATTGTAATCGGGGCCTAGCTCTATGTAACCATACAATCAGAGAAGTAGGTTGGACTTAGAATTCATGATAGGCGTTAGAGCAACCATTATTAATTCTTTTTCTTTATGCACCTTTGTGAGGACGGTCTAATATTATGTGTAAAAATAATTCACTGCCTTATTTATTTAGAGATGCAGGGCCCTTATGGTATATGCATAAAACACTACCGAACAGAACTCGACTTTCGTTGAAATTATGACTCTTTTTTTTCGGTACACTTTCAAAAGATCGTAAATAGTTGATCCTTGGAATGTTAATGACTCAAATGAGCTCGACCGAACGTGAATGAAATCACGTTTAAGGAGGTAGAGATTTAACTGTGGAAAAAATACGTGCCTCTGCGGAACAGTGGCGTGGCGTGCTTTGCGATATATCGATTGTTATGCCATTTAAACCTATGGAAAAGGATCGATAAACAGGGTGTTCGCAGCAAACACCTTAACAATCGATTCTTTACCATAGGTTTAAGTGGCTGAACAATCGATATATTGCAATTCACGTCACGCCACTGCTGCAAAAAGAAACACAGGAGCTGAAAAGAACAAAGACTTAGGCCGGAATTTTAAGACGTTACTCGAAACTTCCTCGACTCGAGATTTCCTTGAGTACGCTTTTCGAGTGTCCTCGAGAATTGACGGTATTTTAAGACGCGACTCGAAATTTCCTCGACTCGAAACGCGCTTCGAGTCACCTCCAAATTTCCTCAAGTGAATTTCGTTGAGTCAATCTCGAGATTTTCGTGAGTGAGGTACTGAGGTCCCTCAAGGGAGTTCTGAGGAAACTTGGTTGAAAGTGATTTGTTTTGTTATNGAGGAAGTTTCGAGTAACGTCTTAAAATTCCGGCCTTAAGGAAATAATTTTCCTTGCAATGCAGCGTTTATTAATTCCCAGATGGAGCAAG